AACCAGCAGCAGTAAACCTTTTGTCCCAGGTAGCAGCATCACTGCAGTCACCAACACGAAGAGAAGGAGCCGGCAACATGGAGCAGTAGCCACTGCTTCCATGGTCCCACCACTGTTTGTGGCTCAGTCTGGGCCAAAGCTTCTCCCAAGCCTCCTAGGCTGGCCTCAAACTTGGGATCCTCCTGCCTCTCCCTCCTTCAGTAAATGCTACTGGCATGTACCAACACAACCAGCTGAGTGCAGCTTGCGGCCCACAAGGCTAACAGGCAAGTAGATTTTTCGAGAATTCGTACCATGAACATTGGGCGCCAGATGTAACATGAATCTTAAAAGTTCTTATTAATAAAATCAAACCCAAGGCCAGTTATTGGGGTCAATGCTGGTAGATCAGAGAGACAGAACAAGCCACAGCTATCTCACCTTGCCGGATCCTCAACTGGTCTTGTTTCCTCAGACTGGAGGCCTCTGAGTCCTCATCCAGAATGTGTCTCAGCTGAACTGCTGCTAGAAGCCTGAACGCTTAACCAGCCAAATGCTTCTAGTTTCTGGTCTTCACGCTTTATATATCTTTCTGCTTTCTACCATCACTCCCTGGGATTAAAGGCGTGAGTCACCATGCTTGGCTGTATCCTTGAACAAATGGATTTCTGCCTCTGGAATGCTAGGATTAAAGGCATGTGCTACCACTGTCTAACTTCTATGTTTAATATTGTGGCTGTTCTGTCTCTGACCCCAGATAAGTTTATTAGCATACACAATATTTGGGGGAATACAATACCACACTACCACTTGCAAATTAAAATTTGTTTTTTCTCTAATGGTGCTACACTGGGGAAACAAACTACTCTTGAGGTTAGGCCACATGTGCAGCAGGAGATGTGCCAACAGAAAATGAAGTCAACCTTTGAAGTTTCCTTGTCATACAATGTCTTCTCGGGTTCTTTTCTTCCTTTCATTTTTAATTTCATGATATTTCAACTTTTTCTTTAATGTTATTTTTCCTTGTCTTTTTATTCTACATGATCTTTGAGTACACACTATGGCTTCGAGTTTTGTGTTTATATGAGAACAAGTGGATCTCAGCCTCTATCTCTTTCTTGTCCTTTTCTTGGATCCCTTTCCTTATATTTTGTTGTATTCTGAGGTGTTATTTTTGTTTTATTATATTAATTATATTATTATGTTATTATATTATAATGATCCCTTAAAGCCTGTTTGTTTTCTGATCAGAGACAGGGGGTGGGTCAAGTTTGGAGGAGAGGCCGGAGCGTAGTCTAAGGGGTAGAGAAAATGGAAACCATTACTAGCACTTGTTAAATGAAAATAAAATCTTCAGTAAAGTGGGAAAATCCTAGATTTTTCAGGTTTACACTCATTACTTGTAGATTCAAATGATAGCCCTTGGTTATGTCAATTTAATGCACATATGTGACTTCATTTGTGAGCAATGTCATATATACAATTTCTTCTAGGATAAGTCTCTGATCAGACTTCCTATCAATGCAAGGTGATATTTGTAATTTTTCCTGGCATATTCCATACCATAATTTCTAGTTAATTTATATTCTGTTATACCAAGATTGCAGTGATTTCTAGTGTGAATTATAATGTCATATTTTTCTTTTACTGACACTTCATTAGATATCCCTAAATTCCTGACTGATTATGCCCTGCTTTATGTTGGAAATTGGTCAGCATTGGGCACTGGAAATTAATAAGTGACTTCCCTTTGTGTAAAAGAATCCAGAGAAAAAAAATCAAATGAGACAAAATGCAGGAGAGCTTGACGTTCCTTGAACAGTCCCCCCAACTCAGTCTTCAGGGATCATGAAAAATAACAGGCTCCCCAACCACTTTTTCCCTTTGGAGAAACAGACATTCATCGGCGTTAATTAGCAAATGGAAAAAGGGATGTTCCTTTTTCAGAACATCAGAAGTCCTTGGCTCCCAAAGCTAGGTGCAATAATTGCAACTTCAGGTGAGAAATTTGTAGTTCTGAAGGGAGGTGAGGTCATGGAGCTATGATCCTTTATTTCAGGGTTGAGCTGCCTCCTATTTTTACATTGCTGGCTGTTATATCAGGAGCTGCACTCAGGAACGATGGTTTGCAGAGGGAATGAGTCAGGTGATCATTTGTACTTCAGTCTGGAAAGAAAAGCAAGCAGAGAAGGGAGGTCTAGTAAGTGTTCATGTCTGGAAAAATTAATCTGTGTAAGGGGAATTGCTGTGGGATGTCTTTCTGTATACTAAGAATATGTGTGGCTTCCTTTGGATAATAAATAAGGCTGTTTTGTCCTGTGACAAGAAAGATTACAGCAAGGTGGAAAATACAAGCAGAGATACAGAGAGAAAAAATGGCAGAATTGGAAGACATACCAGCCCACAGCTGAAGGAGCAACAAGATGCCAGCACACCTTAATGCCATGACCATGTGCCAATGTATATATGAATAGGAATGGGTTGATTTAAGATGAAAGAGCTAGCTAGCAGGAAGCTGAAGCCATAGGCCACATAGTTTGCAATTAATATAAGCCTCTGGGCAATTTATTTTTATAAGTAGCTGCAGGACCACAGGTGGGAGAGACTTGTCCCTACTGTGGGGCCAAGTGGGACACAGAGAAATGTCTGTCTACAGGTATGCTTCACAACCATCTGGGAGAAGATGATTTCCTGCATGTTCACTCTTCTTCCATTGCTATTTGTTCTAGACACTGAATGAGCATTTAGGGTTCTTATACCTTTTTCTCAAACACGGTGCATTCCACTCCTAGTCATTGTCTTTCAAGGCATTGGCAGCTCAATTTGGAGAATTTTTTGTGACTTTGAATATTTTTTTCTTTCCTGACAGATCCGCCATGTGAAAACAACATCCTCAGCCAGTATGCTTAGCCCCTCCATATATCAAGTCCTCCAGGTGGGTGGACCGGAAGATTTGGCCCAGTGTACTTATTTTTAAAACTGTTCTTTCTATGGTTTGTCCTTAATTTGTCCTTATCCTCAAAAATTGTCCTTATTGTATATGATTTCCTTATCTAAAATAACAACTAAAACTTCTTAAAATGGAACAAATATTCAGGATAGTTTTCCAATGTGTTGTCATGATGAAGTTTTCAATATTCATCAAGCTAATATTAATGAGTGGTTTGGCTTGAACCTGTAGTTCTATGACTTTAATCTTGCAGAGAAGACACTTCACATCAATCATATTCAAGCAACCCTTGCAACAAACTCCACTTTCTGTTTTTGTAAAAAGTGATTAGATTTTTTTTTTCTACAAAAGAAAGAGAATACACAATGCCCAGGGCACTGGAACTCACAAGTGAAAATCATTTTAGTGTGCCACACATATATCAAGAAAATGAAGTTGAGCTGAATATGGTAATCCTAGGAATGCACAGGCCAAGGAAAGAGCTGCAGGAAGTTCCAGGGACAGTTTACATTATAATGTGAAACCCTTTCTTAACTTTCATACTTTATGAACTAGAAATAACAGTGACAAAACTGTATTTGTTTACACTTCTACGTCATTACACCAGTCATGGAATCCTGTTGGGTTCTTGGTAGGATAGGACGATGGGGACATGGGTTCATATTGTGTTAACCTGTCAGAGGCTGGATCCCTGCTGACATGCTTTGAGATTTGCCTCAAGTGATATTTGTCATATGAACTCTTATAATTCTTATGTATTTGGCCTTTGTTAATGTATTTCTTATTTATTTATACTGCTAGAGAGGACAACACTGTGAATATCAGCAGAGGGCAGTATATTCCCTTTTGTTTGTTTTGATTCAGGGGTCTCACTATGTACTTCTACCTGTCCTGGGAATTCACTATATAGACTAGGCTAACCTTGAACTCAGAGTGTCCTGCCTATCTCTACCTCCTGGGTGCAAGGATTAAACAAATGTGACACCATGTCTAATTGGTGCAGTGTTCTCTTAAAAAATGCATTAGGAGGCCCTTGGTTAGAAAATATTTCTTGTACATAGATTTAAAATTTTGTCTTAGAAGACATTCCCACAGGAGTGAAATTGTGAACACGCAGGTGTACACCTATTCCAGTGAAATATATGAGTCAAGGAGAATACTATTGACAGTTTGTCACATATCTAACTTATTCATATTCTTACCAAGAACTGGTGTTTCATGCTAGTTTTACTTTACATTTCTGTTACTGCATTAAGACATCTGACAGTGGATCTAATTAGAATACTGGACATCACTCCCCTTTTTATTCCACATTGAATATGGCTGGTTGTACATTTTGTATCAGTTAACCAAACAGAATACATATCATTTGTTCTCTCTTCCCTACCCTAGCACCTGCTGAATAATTTGTGTGTGTGTGTGTGTGTGTGTGTGTGTGTGTGTGTATGTGTGTGTGTGTGTGTAATTTAATGTGCTGTGTTTCTTAAGGATATCTAGCTCATCAATTGAACTTCATGATTGGAGTGTTTCATGCTGTACTATAAACATTTTTCTCATATGAGAATATAGAAATATTCACTTTGTTGAAGTAAAATGTACATTGTTTAAGCTTAAAGTTTGGATGTGGACAGAATGGAAGTCTTTCCCTTTGAAACTGCAGATTGAACTCTCTTTTCCAATGATATAATGTATAAAGTAAAATTCATTCTGGAAAGTAAAAGTGAACATTCTTCCCACTTGACTCAACTGGTGATTGCATCTTTATTGAAATATGGTCTTATTTTTAATGCTGAAGATTTTAGGAAATGCAACATGTACTGGAAATTCACTCCAAAAATATGAGCAGTTATATACTTCAATAATTTCACTGAAAGTAATTACTGATGACCAAGTATTTTTTTGAGACAGTATTGTTAACTTACACATTCTGCCTTGCAATCTTGAATTCAAGTATTTGTCCTCCACAAGCATAACAGGTCAGAAAATTTCATGATTTGCATCATTTGCATCATTTGGCTCAGAGACATAATTATTGTCATAATTTTAAAAAAAAAATTGCCAAATGAACAGAATGGACTCCAGGAACATGGCAATAGGAATAGTGTTCTCAATTCAGAGTACACTTGGAATTCTGGGAAATGTATTATTTCTTTACTACTATTTAGTCATTTATTACAATGAGCACACATTAAAGACTGTAGACTTAATTCTTACACATGTCTTCACAGCCAACTCCTTGATCATTCTCTCTACAGGAGTGCCCCAGATAATGAGAGCTTTAGGGTGGAAAATGTTCCTCAACGATGTTGTATGTCAATTTATTTTATATGTTCTCAGACTTGGCAGGAGTATGTCCATCAGTACCACCTGCCTCTTGAGTGTTTTCCAGGCCATCACCATCAGCCCTATTGACTCCTACTGTAAAGATCTTAAAATCAAAGTACCAAAATATGTTCGCCTCTCCATTTCCCTCTTTTGGATCCTGTACATGGTAGCAAATATGGTTTTCCCTATGTACATGTCTACCAAAAGGAATAGCAAAAATAAGACACAAAAGAGAGATTTTGAATTTTGCCCCTCTCTAGGTCGTGACAAAATAGTAGAATCTCTGTACACAGCATTTTGGGTGTTCCCTGAAGTCTTATTTTCTATACTTATTGTATGTTCTAGCATATCCATGATTGTCATACTTTATGGACATAAGAAGAGGGTTCAACACATCCTCAGCACTCATGCCTCCCCCAGAACCTCTCCTGAATCCAGAGCCGCTCAGACCATCCTGGTCTTAGTTTGCACCTTTCTAGCTTTTTATACCCTTTCCTCCATTTTACAAGGTTACATTGCTCATTCCCACAATCCCAACTGGTGGCTAATGAATATCACAGTCATCATTTCTATGTGTTTTCCTACTTTAAGCCCCTTTGTGATAAGTCATAGTTCCACTATTTCCAGATTTTGTTTTTTCTAGATACTGAATATAAAAATGAAATAATCTTATCATAATTATGTAAATTGTATCATTGTAATGTTTTATATAGAAGGGTCTAGACCTATATGTCCTTCCAAATATCAGTCTAATAATTTATGATACTTGTTATTTTAACAATAGCATCATTTCAAAGAATAATAGTATATTCTTCATTATAACTTACAGCCAGGCTAGCCACAGGTTCTCAACCCCATTAATTATTGTAGTTATGGACTCCTCATTGAGTGGCCTTATATCCTATCATAATGAGGTTGGTTACTTTTGCCATATTTCTTTCACAGTTTTCACTGTTGTGTAAGTGAGCCTATCTTGCCAAGTCAATCTTTTTTTTTTTGGTTCTCATAGTTGATTGTAGGGTAACAATAATACATTGATTACTCTTTTCCTCCAGTGGAGAGCATTACATACACCTTGTAGCAGTAGGAAAGCTAATCAGTAGAGATGAAACTTCCAAGTCAGTATCTACTGGATTCCATATTTTATGACTCAAGAATTTTGCAGTCATATATTTGAACTTTCAGTTATTGTGTGGAAGCACACACAAGACTTGTGCAAGTCAAAAAAAATATAGCAGCAGTATGGGCAGGGAGGAGATAGACATTAATTCCAGTCACTACATCCTGTGGAATTGGCATTTGATAGCTGTTAGGAGGAGAGTGTCAGATTGTTTTAACAGTGTTGCTGCCCTGTAGGTTTAGCACATTTAAGGATAAATCTTACATTTAATAATACTTTGTAGAACACAGATTGTATATGGTAGTTTTACAAATAAAACAACTTGAAATTTAGTGGATGGGTAGGTAGGAATGGATCTGAGAGAATTTTGGGGAGAGAAGTTGAATATGATCAAAATACTTTGAATGAAAATCTCAATGAGTTGACAAGAATATTAAAATTTTTGGTGGAAGCCACAATTTTAAGGTGTACTCCAGGGCTTTGTGTTTTCCTCTGGTACTTAGGAGCAAAGTAGGGGTGAATGCACTATAATGTTCTACCCTGTGTAAGCATACCTTATGTACTGGAATCTTAAGAAGTATTCATTAAGGCTAAGTAAGCAGGTTAGATCTCAATTTCTTTTTTTTTCTTTGTTAAACATAATGATTTTATTAATTCTTTGGGAATTTCACATCATGTACCCTAATCCCACTCATATCCAATTCTTTCCAGGTCTGCCATCCCACTTTATTGCCTTCTCCCCCCAAACAAACAAACAATTAAATAAATAAAACACTTTGCTCTCTCCTCTACTCTGCATCTCTGTCACATATGTATTTCTTTTATCAGTCTTGGGAGTTGTAGTGTGTCCTGAAGTATGCCCTTTTACTCAAACAGATTTATTTTCAAATATTCATTATAATGAGATGTTGGGCTAGTTCAAGGCCTCTGGTTTCTGGTATGCTATCAATAATGGACCCTCACCAAAACTGGTCTATGATATCCTGCTGTAGTCCTTAGTCATGGAGAGGCTGGGGCTATGATTCTGCAGGACTGGTCACTTCATTCACTCCAAAAGGTTGTAAATGCAGTAGATGTTGTGGTGGGCCAAATCAAAGCCCTGGATGTTGGCCTGGGAGGTAACTGAGTTATTCAGTCTGAGCCTACACTGAGTCTAACCTATCAGATGAAGGTTCAGGTCAGTTCTCTCATGACCACATAATCTGGGCCAGCTCTCCTGTGCACATATTATGGTGTGGGCCCAGTGCTACCATGTGTGATGACAGTTCTCCTGTTGCAGCAGGTGGCAAGTGAAGAGAATTTTTTCCATGACCATGAAGAATAGGAGCCTGTTCTCTGCATGGAGGCAGCTCTCCTTTGATGCACCTGTGGAGTGGGGGACAGCTCTCTGTTGCCCAGGCCACTGGAGCCAACTCTATCATGGTCTGATGGTAACACGACCTGTAGACATCAACAGAGACCCCAGCTGCAGTAGAATCCTGGATGTAGATATGGCCCTCAGCTGCAGCTTGGCTCCAGATATCACTATGGCCCTGATGGCAGTGTTGCTGTTTGAAAACAATGTGGTCTCAGATGATGGTCCAGTGTCCAGGCATCTGGTAATCTGGTAGTCTCACAGACACACATATGGCCCTTGGTGGAACAGGACCTGACATTACATTGTCCCAGGTGACAGTGTAAGCCACACATACCAGCCTGTTCCTTCCCTTTGTTTTCAGTCATGCTTCTCTCCACAGCACATGAACTGCTCTGCTTCTCTTTCCCTCCCATTTCTCCACCACATACCTGTTCATCTTAGAGGCATGCCCCACCCAGGCCTCAGGGTACTTGGTGGGCCTGTGGCTGGTTTCATCTGTCCCAGATTTCAGATTCTTAAGGAGACAAAGGAACCAAGTTACTAAGAAGATAAGGATGAAAGTACTGAAATCTATGAAGATACTAGGTACAGAAAACACAGAAGCAAAGGGGATAAAGTCCACACATACAGTGTATTCAGAAAGAGGGTACAGAAGAAACAGATCCCAGGCAGATGACACTCTCCAGTATGCTTGATGTGGAAATATTAGATATTAGATATTGTTTCAGAAGTTTATATTATTGAGAGATCTTCATAGTAAACAATATTTAGTGTTTAGTTTCCTTTAAATTAGCTGAATAACTTGACCCTTTGATTAACATCTGTTAAGCCACTGCCTTGTGCTCTACTATCCTGAGGAACTGTAGACCAAACAGCACTCTCCTATGTATGAAGGATTGTCATCTAGGCTTCCTGAAACTTAGAGAATTTCACAGGTACCTTGTGAATCCTAACTCCCAACTCCAAAGGACAGTGTCATCATTGCTCCTGGGAAGCCACATTGTTCCCCTTTAGGAGGTCCCTCTCTGTCTATAGCCAAACATTCTCAGTGATCATGGTGCAGTTCCACCAATACATTGTGTCTTGGTTGTTTGGCTATATAATAGCTGACTTCTAAGTTGCAAGAGAGATAAAAAAAATACCCATTCTCATCATTTATCTCAAAATTCAAAGTGACAAATAGGAGCATGTACCCATTGAAGGCTTGTGATTAGTTCTCATGTGAGTTTTGTGACTGAGTCACAAAAATATAATAGTAGTTGAATTGGGAGCCATGAACATGCCTGACTGGTAGTAGTAGAATTACAAACTTTATATTACAGGTAATCTTTCTTTTTTTTCCCTCAGGATTTTTTTATTAAGAAAATTTTTCATTCATTTTGCATACCAATCTAAGATTCCTCTCTTCCCTCCTCCTGGACCCCTAGCCTCCCCCTCCCAACCCATCTCCCCACTCCCCCCGCAAAGGAAGGCAAGGCCTCCCATGAGGAGGCACATCCAGGAGAGGCGAGTCCAAGCCTTTCCCCTCACCTCAAGGCTGCACAAGGTGCCCCATCACAGGTAGTGGGCTCCAAAAAGTCCATTCATGCACCAGGGATGGATTCTGATCCTACCACCAGGGGGGCTTCAAGCAGATCAAGCTGTACAATTGTTTCACCATGCAGAATGCCTAGTGCAGTCCCATGCAGGCTTCACAGCCGTTGATCCAACTTTCATGAGATCCCACTAGTCTTGTTTTGTCATCTCTGCAGGTTTCCACATTATAATCCTGATGCACTTGCTCATAGAATCCCTCCTCTCTCTCTTTGGCTGGATTCAAGGAGCTCTGCCTGATGTTTAGCTGTGGATCTCTGCACCTGCCTCCATCAGTCATTGGAGAAAAGCTCTGTGATGATAGAGTATTCACCAATCTGATCACTTGGGTAAGCCAGTCTAGCTGAGGAATCCTCTCCACTATTACTAGTAGTCCAAGCTGGGGTCATCCTTGGGGATTTCTGGCAACTTCCCTAGCACTGAGTTTCTCTCTATCCCCATGATGTCTACCTCTATCATGGTATCAATATTACTACTTTCCCACTCCATCCCTATTCCAGCTCTACCATCCCATTCCCTTATGTTCTCATCCCCTATCACCTAACCTCCATTGCCCACACTTCATCCCCAGTTTACTCATAGAAATCTTATCTATTTCCCCTTCCCAGGGCAATCCATGGGTCCCTCTTTGGGTCTTCCTTGTTAGTTAGCTTCTCTGGAGTTGTGGGTTGTTGTTTTGCTATCCTGTGCTTTACATCTATTGTCCACTTATGTATGGGTACTGTGGTGATATTTTATTTCTTTGTTAATAAATAAGGTTTGCCTAGAGATCAGAGGAAATAGCAAGCCGTAAACACAAAAGTCAGGCAGTGGTAGCACAAGCCCTTAATCCAATAACTTGGCAGGCAGTCTTTAGGTGTTCAAGGTCACACCAAGGAACAGAGCCAGAAGTGGTGACACCTGCCTTTAATCCCAGTACCAACCATAGAGAGCTGGAGGTCTGTACAGACAGGCAGTAACAAGGAAGTGAGGTAGCTGGGCTAAGAGTCAATGACTGGGCAGAATAGCAAGGTAATAAAAGCCTGGTTAGACAGGAAGTCATGGCATTTTGGAAGCTATAGAGCTGGTGAAGTAAGGTGGTTGATGGCTGTCACTATTTCCCTGATCTCTAAGGCTTTCACCCCTATATTTGGCTCCATATTCTTTATTTAATAAGTCCAGTTAGAAATGCATCCACTTTTGGTGTCCAACTTGTGGGGCAGGAATTCACAAAAAAGCCACTTGCCTGTGGCCTTGCAGTCCCCAGCTCAGGCCCAAGCTGCACGCAGCTGGTTGTGGTGGCACACAATGGTAGGATTTACTAAAAGAGGCAGAGATAGGAGGATTCTGAGTTTGAGGCCAGCCTGGGAGGCTTGCTGAGGAGAAACTGCAGACAGGGCCAGGCCACAAACGGTGGCAGTGGGACCGTGGAGACAGCAGCTGCTGCTCCACATTGCTGGCTGCTTCTCATCATGTTGGTGGTGACACTACTTCCTGGGATGAAGGGTTTACTGCTGCTTGTTCAGAGAACAATTGCCAGGACAATCATGTTACATAAAAGCATTGGCAAAAGTCAGTTTGGAGAAGTTTGTTG